GGATCGCCGAAGTCCCGACGAGTCTGGACCTCGGACTTTGTACTGTATAAATATATATACAATACGGAATGTATATTTTCAGTTAAACTTCTGCCCAATAACTTTAGTAATTCATGAGAGTTAATTTTGTGTCTAGTTAATTCAGGAAAATTAGTTTCAATTAGTTGTTTTCAGCTTTAAAAATATTAAAAGTTTTTTTAATTAGTTAGTTGTTTTTCAACTAATAATTGTATCGCCATTAGCAAAAGTAATGCATTACTATCAACAGCACTTTTTTTTTTTTTTTTTTCTTTTCTTTTCTTTTTTTTTTTTGAAATCGCTAAAACTTTTCGTATATGTCCCGTTATTGCTCATCATAAAGTCGTCAAATCCTTTGTGCATAGGATTAAACCAAATATTTAATTTTCTATTGAAGCTTCAAAACGTATTTCCGAACTTCACTTTTTCTCGGCTAGCATTACCGAATTTGCCCTTGGCGACCTAAAATCGAAATGGAGCCAACAGATTTCCCGCGAAATTGATAACAGACCCTCTGCAGAAATAAACTCATAATCCCAATATCCCATACATATATGTGCAAAAGAGAATAAACTCCGTAGAAGGAGATCAAAAATTAATTTATGGCTTAATTCAAACAAACACAGAAATCAAGCTAAGCAAAATCGCGTAAAAACAAATTGAAATGATAAAACGAAACTTACCTTTCACGTGAATTTTCAGCGCAGACACTCCCATTCTAGAAATTTCAATTTGTTTCAGATAAAGACCACATTTAGCTTTATAAGGATTGTCATCTATCAATATCCAGTCTTTGTAGTCAGCTTGATGAAGCCACAGTTTATTGAAGATGCACTTTCCAGGCATCTCGTTCCTATTGGCGTCGAAGGATTTTGGCCTTCCAGGTTGGGATTGTTCTAATTTTGGTAAATATTTTCAGAATGCCCCCCTTTTTTTTTCTCGAGCACCTTCATCATCACTTTCGCCTCTTAAAGAACTTCCAGCTTCACGCTTTCGTCACAATCTGCCTAAATTTATGGATAACAAATGTTTCGAAAGATTGGGTAATAGCCAATCAGACACCGATACTTTCGTTCTAGGGTAGCTAATTGTATTTTTATCGTTTGCAACGCAAATCCGCCAACAGATTGGTTAAGAGCCGTGTAATTTTAATTCCATATTCATGAGAAATCACAATTCACACTTAGATTGGCAATCATTAGAAATGATAAGAAATGTCAAATGAGCAAAATTAAGGACCATTTATTCATTTTGACCAAAAGTAAGGACTTTTAAGGACCAAAAATAATTTTTGAAAAATTTAAGGACTTTTAAGGACCATACGAACCCTGCAAGTAAAACACATAGTTCAATACTTTAAATCTACGCTAAACATGAAGACAAATGAACAAAACAAATGAAAGTCTTAAATGTTATGTAGACATGGATTTTGCCGAAAATATTCCCGAAAGGAAGTCTTTTCGTGGCTATGTTACGTATTTAGTATGAAGCCCTATATCCTAGGAGTCATGCAAGCACAGAATTGTAGTGCTATCAAGTACTGAAGAAGAATATATAGTGTTAACTGAAGTTTCAAAAGAAGTGATTCACTTGTGTTTGCTTTTGAGAGAGATAGGTATTTTTGGAGATGACAGCAGAACAATCTGTGTTATGCAGTGAAAAACAAAATACACAGCAATTAGTGAAAAATCCAGTTCATCACTCTCCAACAAACTTTTCATTAATAGACATGATAAAAAGAAAATTGATATTAAGTATGTGTCTTAAGCATAAATGTTTGTCGATATTTTAACAAAGAATCTTGGCAGGGACGAACACACAAAATATATGAATCTGTTAGCACTTGAACTTTAACTAACATTTTTTTAAATCCTCTTTTTAGCTCTGCATGGGATAGTGTAGGGAAATTTGTACTCTTCCTTGCATCTGCACAGTCTGAAGATGCATAAAGTTCAGTGCAATATAGTCCCGCGGTAGAGGCCAAGAAATGTGTGTGAAGATCGTACGTTTTCCTAATGTACCTGTCCAGAATGTGCGTTCCATCTGGTTACTAAAGTGGCCAGTAGTAGTGATTCTCTCCCCTGTTGTTCGAAAATATGATGCACAGAATAGATCTGCTGAAGACGAGAATGGAAATTAGAATCTAGCAGTGTACCAAACAGCTTTTATATGATGTATCGTATGGCATCGTTGCAGCCAAATACCTGCTGAAATATTAGTCAAATGTTAATCATCTTCCCTCTTCTTCATGCTACACTTTTTCTCTCATGTCGTAGGTTGACATATCCTGTTCATCGGTTTTGTTAAGCTCAAGGAAAACACTCAGAAACTCAACAAAAAGTTTATGTTTAACTTACAGCAAGTATGCTCCTTTAGTAGGGAACCAAGTTTCACACTATGCCAAAACTCTCAACGTTATCCAAAATTAAAATTCAGCAGGAAAAAATTACTATTTTCATAACTTTAAAAAATATGTACGCATATATATGTATATATTACACTCTTAGGGGGGGGAAAAAAAGACGCTCCAAGAAGATATAAAGCAAACTGGACACAGCAAAATTTTACATTTTGGCTACCAATGAATGAACAGTTGTCGCTATAGCGCATCTGATCTGTGCAACTGGCAGGATATTTAAGAGGAGAAATTACGATTCCAGGTCATAAATTCTTCACAAATTTCATTCTATGTACTCTGGTAGACAGTAACTATGCCTCTCATACAGGTGTGTGAACGATTTGCGCAGATGCCAGAATTTGAGAGAAGTCATGTAGTTGGGCTCAAAGAAGCCGATTGGACTTATTGGCGAATAGATCAACATTTGAGCAGGAACAATGCCACTATTAGACGATGTTGGCAGGAAAGGATGAACCATGGTTGCACACAGTGTCAAGAAGGAAGCAGTAGGCCTAGAGAAACGGCAGAACGTGAAGACCAAGCAATTGTCAGAGCGGCACACACAGCCCTAGATGCATCATTATCATCGATTGTACGTGCAGTTAGTGCTTCAGTGACCGCAATAACCATTCATAGACGGCTCACAGAAAGGGGGCTGAGGTCACAGCGCCACTTGCGCCGAGTGCCATTGACCTCTGTACAACGTCAAGCTCATTCGCACTGGAATGTCACTGACTGGAGTAGAATAGTCTTCAGTGATCTGTCCCGCTTTGAACTGAGCCCCGATGACCAGCGAAGGCGAGTCTGGAGCGCTCCAGACAGCAGTGTGATACCAACCTGCCTGTCTTCTGGCAGACAGGCCTACAACCAGTAGTGATAGTCTGGGGTGCCATTTCATTTCATAGTAGGACACCTTTGGTTGTCATCAGTTGTAATCTTACAGCACAGCGGTACGTCAATGAAGTTCTAAGGCCTGTTGTGTTGCCCTTCATGTTTTGCCACCCTGGGCTTACATTTCAGCAAGATAATGCCCCGCTCACACACTGCACATGTTTCTACTGCTTGCCGAACATTACCTTGGCCAGCAAGGTTGCCAGATATCTCTCCTATTGAGCACATTTGGAGCATTATGGGCAGGGCTCTCCAACCAGCTCGGGATGTTGACGATCTAACGCGTCAGTTAGACAGAATTTGGCTCGATATCCCTCAGGAGAATCATTCAGATAAATCCTTCTTGGTGCGTCATTTTTAAACAGAGGGAAATGAAAACAAAATAAAAACCCCACATAATATGTATCAGGTAACCAGGAAAGTTCATGCAGTTTTTTAAAAACAATTACTTTTGGCGGATTAGTGCGGTCAAATTGATTCTGATGACGCCATTTGTTTACATTCCTTTTAAGCCTTATTCAGCAGATAGTTCTTCAGTGAATAGCATGTTTCTCTATCAGTTTAGTAGGAAGTAAAATCTTGAAAAGAACATGTCAGTGGAAAAGGAGATTTTTGGCCCATCTTGCTTTAAGAGGACAATTAGGAAACAATGCTGCAGAGGCTGTTAGAAGAATATGCTTCACATTTGGAGAGGTATCAGTGAGTGAACGGACTGCTCAAAAGTGGTTCTGCCAATTTTCTTTCAAAGACAGAGCATTGAGGACGAGCCTCCTGTTTGTGATTCATCCACCCTCAAAAAATTCCAGCTGGAGGAGGAGTCAAACAGAATCCTTATTAAACCTGCCAGAAGCTTGCACACAGGTTTAGAGTATCTGACAAAACCATTCAATCACATTTTCATAACCTTGGGAGAACATGGAAACTAAGCAAGTGGGTTCCTCATGTCCTGTCCAAGAACAAGCTCCAATGGTTGAACATCTGCTCGTTGTTGCTGTCGCGGTATAATAACCCTCATTCCTGGACCAAATTTTGACATGTGATGAAAAATTGATCATGTATGATAACTAGACGAGCAGACATCATTGGTTGACTTTTGGTTTGGTCTCATAGGTTGCTAAACAAACCAGTGCTGGCATAGTCCACTATGAATACCTAAAAGATGGGAAACATAACAGCTGAAGTCTAACTATCACAGCTGCAAAAAATTTCAGCGCCAGTACACCAGAAGTAGCCATCACTGGTGAACAGTAGAGGAGTTCTGTATGATAATGCCAGAACTCATAAGGCAAAAAGGACCAAGAAGGTGATAAAAACAGTGGGCTGGGAAGTTCTGCTTTGGCCATCGTGTTCCCCAGATATTACTTTAATGGGACTATTACCTGTTTTGGCCATGGATAACCACCTGCAAGAACAGCCATTTTGAAAACACAACAATGTCACAAAGGCTGTATCACAATTTTTGGACTCCAGAAAAAAGGATTTTCTTTCAAAGGCCATTTATAAGCTTGTGTCTTGTTGGAAACATGTAACTGAAGACAAAGGGGATTATTTCTAAGAATATATTAGTGTTTAAGACTTTTATAGGCCGTTTTTGATGAGTGACGAAAACCCTATGGACTTTCTTGAATACCCAGTAATATTAAAAAATAAATAAATAAAATAAATACTTTTAATTACTCATTGGATTACATACTTTTTAATATACTGATTGGAGCACATGTAGTTTCCAACTGTGTAAAAATGCTTTTTCTCTTGGCGATAGAGGAGGATATGTGGCAAGGTAAAATCAAATATACCCGTATACCATCCATTGCTTCTTTACAGAGATTTAAAAAAAAAAAAAAAAAAAAAAAAATAATAATAAATAAATAAAATCTATATTATATATATATATGGCTTCAAATACAGCAAAAATCTAAAAGTATTTAAAACTTCTTGCATATACTACAGGTATTTCATTCTTAATACATACAAAAATGTTTAAAAACACCTGGTAATTTAAGATGGTGACTATTTTTACATTTTCTTAAATTCTAGACTGATTTGCACAAGACTACATCTTCTCTTTATAGGAGGTATTTTTAAATTAAATATTAAGTTTTAATTAGTAATTATTCAATTTATAAAAATGTCAATGACATAATTTTTGGTTCCTTTTTACTGAGCAAGAAGTAAAAACGCTGGTTATAAAATAGAAAGTGTAGCAATATAAAATGATACCACAGAAGAGGCCTTCAGAACTATTACTGAATAATTAAAGACTAAATTAAAACATGTTCAAAACCCAATATAACAAGCAGTTTATATTATTTAAAACAAAGCCATGCATACCACTAATATAAATTAAAGTTATTGCAGAGTTAGGAGAACGTCAAATAGGTTGCAAACATTTGAAAATATCAACAAAACAGTTATCAGAGTAGGCAATTTATAAAAATGAAATTTATCTTTAACGATTTTTATGTACTTCACAGATTTCAGAAACCTCAACTTTTACAGTTTTGCTCCCACTGATAGCATGCATATATGTTTCATTTCCTCTCCTAATTTATACAACTGAAATGACAAAATTGATTGTCAGCTAACTTAAAGACTAAAATACTTTATTATGTAACTACAATTAAGAAGTTTTCCTTTACTTCACAAAAGTATGCATAGTAACCCCTTTTTTAATATATATATATATATATATATATATATATATATAAACTGCACAATTTTACATTTACATTTCACATTGCAAATAAATACAGTGTTTTGGCCTCCTCGGTGATTTGTGCCCAGAGGGCGCACCGCACAAAAAGTTAGTTGCGTTACAGAACGTAAGGGAAGCGGACACGCCAAAATGTCGGGCGTATTACCGCTAATTGAGGTAATTGCATCGTATCTGTCAGGTGGCAGAAAACTAATATGATGTATCAATTCACATGCCAGGTGGCAGAATATGTCTATCATGTACATGCCAGGAGGCATAACGCTTGTAAACATGCCAGGTGGCATACGACTTGTAAATAAAATGTACAGTAAAATATCTTGGTGCAATAGATCAAGGAACAAGCATCAACAACCTTCTGATCATTTGGATACGTACATACAGAAATATATATAAATACAGACTTATGTGTAAAAACACACAATTTACATTCAGTTTATATCAGTTAATACAAACAATATACTAAATGCAGAGTGAGTGTAACAGACAATTTTAAAACATTAAAGTCTTACTATGGTTACCCATATTATAAAATTTTATTGATAAATAAAATCAAATAAACTATTTAATAAACTAAAAGGAGAAAAATAATTTATCATATAGTTCAATAGGAACACGAGACAAAATAATTCTCTTCACAAAATATAGCTACAATTTCATGTCATGAATATGATACATTTATAAAGATAACTGCATATACTTTTAATAATGCAGTTTGATTACTAAAGTTTATAAAGCATATACTTTTAGGCATCCTTGCAAACATTTGAAAATATCAACAAAACAGTTATCAGAGCAGGCAATTTATAAAAATGAAATTTATCTTTAACGATTTTTATGTACTTCACAGATTTCAGAAACCTCAACTTTTACAGTTTTGCTCCCACTGATAGCATGCATATATGTTTCATTTCCTCTCCTAATTTATACAACTGAAATGACAAAATTGATTGTCATCTAACTTAAAGAGTAAAATACTTTATTATATAACTACAATTAAGAAGTTTTATTTATATAATATATTATTATAGTTATATTTTATAGTTATATATATATATATATAAATTATATTATAGTTATATTTATAGTTTAAGTCTATTTATAATATAAACCATACCAGAATTTTGTGAAGAGAATTATTTAAAATCTCTTTTTTTCCTATTAGAGTATATGATAAATTCTTTTTTCTACTTAGTTTTTTTTTAACTATTTTATGGGTTTTAAATAAAAACTTATTTTAAAAAAGCTTTTACTCATTTTTTAACTTTAATATTCTTAGCTTCAATAACATGCTGTAAATCAAATTATTCAATTCAAAATTCACATCTCAACAATTAATAATCCCTTCCCCCCCTAATAAATCAGTTAATGCCAAATGGTTGGGGAAAAAATCCAGCCCCCATTGATTTAGGGGGGGGGAAGAGGCAGCCCTAACATAAAAATTACATTGACTTTTTTTTTTTTTTTAAAGAAGAGTTTATTCTATAATTGTTAAGTTAGAATACAGCGCTACCTATTGGATAGGGAGAGAAACTCTCTCTTGGCCATCTGGATTCGGCTAAGCAACATGCCAGAGCATGTATTAGAACTGAATAGTTACTTACTGTTAATAAATTAGTTAGTTCTTTTGCTATACAGTCCACTCATTAGTTTAGAATCATAGTACATGGTCAGCAGAACCGGAGAAATGAGCAAAATGCTGGCATTAGATAGAAATAAAACTTCGTTAAAAGCAAAACTAACTAGGTTAGAAAATATAGTGAAGGAATATGATGAAAAAATATAGTAAAGTTCAAATAAGAATGAAATTCAAATAAAGTATAGATTGCTACAAAGCATTCAAATGGATATTAGAAACTTAAGGATTAGATATTTTGAAAGCGTTGATGAAAAACATGTCACAGCCATCGATGAAGAAATCGCTGAAATGGAAGAAAGAACGGAAGTTCTGGAGGTAAGAATTATGGAAATTCTATCATCTATCGCTCATACTCAACATGAAAATGATTGCAGTAAATTTGATCCTAAAGTACAAGTACGTTTGCCAGAATTACCAATTCCTAAATTTTTGGTAAAATATACCGATTGGAAAAATTTAAGCTTCAATTCGAAAACATCATAGTGAATAACGCGCAACTGACAGAAGTTCAGAAAACACTTCTATTAAAGGCTGCTTTAATGATGAAGCAAAAATCTTGAAACTGTTGATTATACTTTTATTCTCTATTTAAAGCTCTTCAAGATAGGTATGAAATAACAGAATATTAATTGAGATGCATATAAAGTCAATATGGATTCACATACTTTAACATCGAATTGTCTAAAGGATAAGATATGTATAGATAATGTTACTAAAAACGTTAGGGCTTTGAAGTTTTTAAAGTATGAGAAAAATAATTTATCCGACATTCTGTTATTAAATATTGTACTTCAGAAACTAGATTTTGAAACGCGCAAACAATTTAAATTAAGCATTAATGCTACGGAAGTTCCTACGTTTGATGAATTAATTTCGATTTTAGAGAAAAGATGTCAGTTACTGGATAACATTAACCGTAGTATTAATAAAATGAAATATCCGTTGGAAAAAAGTTCGAAATCAAAGGCTCTGATGATTAAAACCGATAGTGTTTCGATTTGTGTTATATGCAAAAATAACAATCATCCACTGCATAAATGTGATTCTTTTTTAAACTAAATCCAAATCAAAGATATGAAATAGTTAAAAACCATAAATTGTGTCTAAACTCAGTAACAAACATTTAATCGCAAAATGCAATTCTAAGTTCAGATGTTCGGAATGCCATAAAAAACACATTCATTAATACATCGCCTGCTCAGAAATGGCGGCATCGAACATACGTTAGACGAAACAAAAACGGAAGCAGCGAGTGACGAAATTATAAATAAGAACACAGATGTCTAATAAAAATCAATCAAGTTGTCTTTTGACACTGAGAAAAAAATGTGTTATTAGCGACTGCAATGAGTATATGTTTGCAATTCAGAAAGAAAAAGAATTCCCAGTTCGCGTTATACTTGATAACGGCAGCATGAGTTGTTTTCTGTCTGGAAGGTGTTGCTAACTTTGTTAAATGTAAAGGTGAAGAAAGAATTTATGCATCTGTATCCGGAATTAAATGAGAATGTTACAAATATTAATTGTCAACTAGATGTACAGATATCGGAATAAGGATTTAACATATGTAAGATCAGTTAATCGTTTAGGTTATTTCTAAAATAACCAATGTAACTTCCGTCAAGGAGTTTAGAATGTGCAGTCATTAAATATTCCCATTGATATTGAATTAGCGGATTCGCAATTTGAAACACCTTGACAAAATAGATATGTAATTAGGAGGCCGAATTGTTTTTTGAGAATTGAGATTTTAAAACAACGGACAAATTTCAATTAGAAAATCAACCGTTGATATTCCAAGAAACAGTTTTTGAATATATCGTGTCTGGTGCATGCAAGAGTAACTCAGATGTAAATTATTGTGGTTTAATTAAAAATAGACAAGAAAGAGTTGAAGAAATTTTGCAAAGATTTTGGGAAGTTGAATCCATTGAAAATATCGAGGATGCTTTGAGTGAAGAAGAAAAATACTGTGAAGAACATTTCAAGCGTACTCACTATAGATAAAATGATGGAAGATATGTAGTTCAATTACCCATAAGGGAAGGCGTAGAATTAGGATAATCGAAAACGCTGGCTGAGAAAAGATTGCATCAAGGGTGGAATTGACTATAAAGTGATTCGAATATGAAAACATTATATAAGAATTTTATCAAGGAATATAAGGATCTGAATCACATGGAAGAAGTTCAAGAAATTGAAACATCGACTTGCAATTATCTTAGTCATCATGGAGTTTATCGGCCAAAGAAAGCCTATACCAACCTTCGCGTTGTGTTTAATGCATCAGCGGCTACTAGCAATGGAAAATCACTTAATTTAAAATTAATGAAAGGGCGAATACCTCAAGAAGATTTATTTTCTATTATTATTAGATTTCGAAAGTACAACTATGCATTAGAAGCTGATGTTCAGAAGATGCACAGACAAATACTTATTGAACCATCTCAAAGAAACCTGCAGTTGATC